GCACTCTTTTTTTCATTTTTTTCTACTTTTTTTTTTCTTTTTCGTGGTTTCTCTTCACTCCAAGAAGAAGAGAAAAAGAAGAGTAAGGTATCTGAGGCAAAAATAAACATATAGATAGATAAATAGATAAATAGATAAATAAAAGAGATACATAAAGAGATATATAAAGGTGTGGAGACGCCCATTTACAATGATCCAAGCACAATATAAGAAAAGAGCAAAAAAGAAAAGAAAAAGAAAAAGGGGTAACGCAGAGAAACGACAATATCAATAATAATATCAATATCAATATCAATAATATCAATATTAATAATAATGAAAAAAACAAATGCAAATTCCCCCTTGTAAAGGAACGTATATTAAATCACAAAAAAAAGGAGTACCTTTTTCTCATATATTTTGTTGCTTTCACTCTTTTTTTTTTCTTCCTTTTTCTTCTTCTTCTTCTTCTTGTCTCTAAATAACTTAACATCATTGTGTTCACACACACACGCAGACGATAGCATTCCCTAGAAGTATTCTTTTCTTTTTTTTTCCCCCTTCCATCGTCCTTCACTCTTTCCTAACTTCTTTTCTTTCTCATTTTATTCTTTTCATAGTGAAATACAGACATATATATATATATATATACAATATATAATATCATTGCTATGTTACCCAATTTTACGGCTGCATAGATTTACTAGCATATAAAAGGTGAATAGTCCGCCACACTCTTCCACGCGGCCGACTCCTCATGAATGAGTAATCGCCGTGCCCGTCTTTCATGTGATTCCAACAACAATAAATTAATTTGTGCCTTTCGTGCTAATTGATTCGCCTCCCGCTCCGCCCCCCGGCCCCCGGCGAGGGCATCACTTTTATCCGTAAAGGCCCCAGACCGGGTATGGGCACGTTGCCGTGTTCGCACCCGCAATCCCTTTCGACTCTCTATAAATGCCGTTGTGGGTGTTGGGAGTGGAATGGCATAAGAAGAGAAAGTCGTGCTATCATCCGGCACACACACACGAGTGAGATTCAGTGGAGGAACAAAAGGCGGAATAACGGTTGGTGGGAAGTGATGATCTTCACTTCCACACCAGTAGGCATGAAAGGACCACCAGGTATCCTCATCCGCATCCCACTCTTCTATATCCAACTCGAAGGCCTCTATACTAATATTATTATTATTATTATTATTATTATTATTATTATTATTATTATTATTATTATTATTATTATTATTATGATAATGATAGTGGGATGCTGGATGGATGTTGTTAGACTTCACCTCTGTTGTGATCTCCGCTGTTGGCACTTCCGTTGCTTCTCTGCTGGATTCACTACTTGATATCGTCGTTGTGGTCGCTTCTACTAGTGATGTTGTGGATGTGGATGTTGGTAGTGGTACTGGTGCGGCTTCTACAATCTCACCCGGTATATGAGATTTGGTACTAATAATGGGTTTAGTGGCAGCAACTACTTTTGTTGTTGTTTTTGTTTTTGTTGTTGATTGATCTGTTAACACTGTACGACTCGCCGCCTCCTCCACAGGAGCTGTATTTCCAGTGGAACCACTACTACTACTACTACTCACTTTATACACAACATTATTGGATTCCCTAATAGGGGAAGAAGAAGACTTACCAGTAGTAGTACTATTATTAATAGTAGTATTATTATTAATAGTTGTTGACGTTGTTGTTGTCTTTACTATAGTAGAAGAAGTATGATGTTCACGTAAATGTGAGGTTCGACGTGTTTCCAACACACCTCTCACACAATGGAGTACAGAAGAAGCAGAAACAAACTTTCCCAGTACGCCACTATCGGAACCCTGCAAGTGAATAGTAGAGGCTGGAGGACTATAGAGAGGAGAACTAGATGATGGTTGTTCTTTTTCTTCTTCCTTCTCTTTCTCTTTCTCTTTTTCTTTTTCTCGTTGTTGTTGTTCTTCCTTCTCTTTCTCTTTCTCTTTTTCTTTTTCTCGTCTTTCTCGTCGTTGTTGTTGTTTGGGGTCAGTGATATTAAGTGGAATAACGTCATTCATAGATTTCTGCTGCTTAAGTCGCAGTTCACGTTCTTTAAGGACTGTAAGGCATAATTGACTAACTTGACGTGATAACGGTCTTTCCAGAGGATTAAAAGATCCTTGATACCCAACACTAGAATCCGTATTATTACTCGTACTAGTCCTAGTAGTATTAGTATTAGTATTAGTAGTAGTATTAGTAGTAGTATTAATAGTATTACTATGAGTAATATGAGTCGTAGAACCAGCATTTGCAAGATATTTACTTCTATTGGTAGAACTCCAACTAGATGAGGTCACAGCTGTTGTGTTTGCACGTTTAAAAGGCACTGTTGTCTGTTGTTGTTGTTGTTGCTGCAACTCCATTCCCTCCATTAATGTTTGTTTGAGATTTCTTTTCCTATCCTCTTTTTTCTTTTTTTCTTCCACACGATCATTACATATAAACACAGAGTTGGGAGGTATACAAATAGTATTACTATCTCTTTCTACCAGGGTACTTTTGGAACTCATACATTTACTGGAATCACGATTAGGACTACTAACTTGTCTATTCTGAAAACGGGAATCTTCACTCGTTTCATGTGCGGCTAATGGAGGCATTACTCGAAAAAAAGATCCTCCACGACTTGCCAATCGAATAAATGGTTTTTGACCAGAACTTCCAACAGCCGCTCCAACATAACTACGAGAACCAGAGGCCATACTACTATAATCTTCTATTTTTTCTTCTTTATTCATTTTCATTTTGACTGTACTTCTTATCCCTGTTGTTCCTCCTACTGTAGATAGACTTGTGCTAATTCTTCTAAATCTTCCTCCTCCTACTCCTCCTCCATTACTAATCGCTTGATCTTGTTGAGATCCTTCTCGGAATTCCGGCATCGTTAAGAGTGTTTGGGCGTGTGAAAAATTCCTAATGAAATCGCCTCTCTCCTCATCTCCTCCTTTTCCATCTCTTTCACTATTACTCTTCTCTACACTGTGTCTATTCTCATCATTGAACAGAACACGACCAACAACTTTTATTCGCCTAGATGGCTCACTACGTTTTGTACTTGATAAGATATGTGTTTTTTCTGTTCCTCCTGTTGTAATACTATCACGATGAGAAATCATTCTGGACCCCACAGGTGAGTGCGGTTCACTGGGATGTGAATGTAAACTATTATATGTGCCTTGACGCTTCATTCGGGATTTGTTTGTAGGTGGAAGACTCATATTTGTGGGTGAAATGATCACAGATGATTTCCTACTAAGATTATTACTACTACTAGCATTAGTAGTAATAGTAGCATTGGCATTTGTAATAGTTCTAGTACTGGATGGACTAGACATGGCTGTAGATATCCGTCTCGCACGACGTGTACCTTGACTATGAGAAACTGTAAGTTCTTTACTGTTTCCACGACTCTGATGATGTCTACTCTTACCGTAGTTTTCGCCAAAGTTTAGATGTAGTGTAGGAACGCCTGATGGTGTGCGGCGTGTAGTTGTGGGTTTAGCCGCTGTGTTCATAGTGGTATGCTGTTTACTCATAACCGTATTTGTTGCTGTAGTAGTAATATTACTATTATTATTATTACTAGTATTAGTAGTATTAGTAGTAGCAGCAACAGCAGCAGAGGAAGAAGAAGAACAAGAATAGGGATACGTAAAGTGTAGTAGATTTGGTGGTATGCATGCCGGTGTTCTTATATTACCTTTATCTCGCCATATATCAGCAAGCGTGTGGTGTGGTTTTTCACTTTTCATATATATATATATATAGATAGATAGATAGATATGTATACTAATAGTAATAGTAATAATAATAATCTCCTTTATATATATATATATATATATATATATATATATATATTTGTTCTTGTTGTTTTACTCTATCCTTTGTGTCTGTGTGTATGTGCGATGTTCTCGTCGCTGATATTTGATCTTTTTCTCTACGCCTATTCCTTCCAGTCCTCTCTTTGTTTTTTTTCCAGGATCCTAAGGAAGTCAACGAGAGACTAAATCACAAATAATATATAAATAAACAAAAATAAAAAAATGAAATGAAATAAGTGAACAAAACACCTTCACCTCCCCGCTATGGAGAGATGCCCTCTCTCTACTTCTTCTTCTTCCTTTCTTATCTATCTAATATTCTTTGTTCTTTCTCTGTTCAGTCTCTCTTCTTTTCCTGTTCTTTTTCTCCCTTAAACTCCGCCCCTAATGGAAAGAATAGAATAGAAAAGACTAGAAAAGAAAAAAAGAAAAAAGAAAAAAAGATCATATACATTACACATAGGCAATAGATGTAAAACCTTACTCTATCAAGAAAGGAGAAACAAATAAAAGAAAGTAAACTATTCCTATATATATATATATATATATATATATATATATATATATATATATATAAAGAGAAAGAAAAGAGAAAAAAAAAAACAAAGAAATATAAATAAAAAATTACACAAACGAAGGGGCAAGAAAGAAAAAAAAAAAAACAAGGCTTTCAACATCAAATTCACATACTTTGTTTTTATTTTGTTTGTATTCTTTTTTAATCCTCTACGTTTGTTTCTCTTTTTTTTTTTTGTTTGTTTTGTTTTGTTTGCATGATGTGAATTCTTCGCTTCAGTAAAAAAGACTTTTCTTTTTGAAAAAAAGAAAAAAAAAACTTAATTTGTTAGTTTTTTCTTTTTGTTCCTTTTTTTTT